AGTTTTAATCATAATAGAAATTCTATATGTTTATAATCTCAAAATGTAGTTAATGATTTGATAAAACAATTATTTAATATTTGATAATACTAATGATATGCAAATTGCCAATGGATGAAGATTTCTTTTGTTAAGATTGTGTGAAATTAATAAGAAAAAGAAGTTTAGAATAATCATAAGCTAACTGTTTGACCAAATAAAAAATCATTAACTAATTGAATTAATGATACATTTTGTAGATATCTTTTGTGCTATAATTGCTAGATTGCTTTTTGAATATGAATATTTTTTTATGTGAAAATAAGAAATTTATGTGATCTAAAATGTTTATTCGCATGATTTTAGCAAACAAATATTTAATTATTGATTTGTTTAATTTTTATTTATATTTAAAAATTATATAATTTTTTTAAATTTGATGATATGATCAGTTATGTATATATACTATGTAGAATTTGATTAGTTGATTATTTCATATGCTAACATATTTTTTTTATCTTTTTATTAATCAAAAAAAATGTGATCTTTGTTTTTTAGATATATGATAATTTTTTTTATTAGATTTCATTCTATATCTATACTATTAATTTCGAAATTAATTTAAAATATTAAATTAATATTAAATATGTTTATGTATATTTAAAATAGACATGTTTACATATATTTAATTTGAATTTAATTGTCCACTTTTTATGGTAAAAGATTATTATGATTTCCATAAATATAGATTGTTTTTGTTTTTTTGTTTTTTTTTTGCTGTCAATAATTCTGTTTGGCAACTGGAATATATTTCATGAAATTTTTTTTTTCAATTAGGGGGTGTTTGGATTCAAGTTGTCCTTCCCAATTAATAGTATAGATGCCACCACGTGATTAAGGTTTAACCATGAACTTATTATTATTAACAAAATTATTTAATATAATTATATAAGATTACATCATTGATGACACCATGGTCCATGATCGTATCTAAACTCAATAGTCTTCATTACACAAATGCCCAACTTTATTATACTAGTATATGGGCCTTACTTTATTATTATTTGTCTATATAAACGAATAATCATGAGAGCTAAGTTAGAGAAACCCTAATTTTTATCTCAAAACAATGAAGACGCGCATCTCTGATCTTCCGTGGGATTTGGTAGAAGACATACTCTCTAGGGTTTCAATAACTTCCCGAAGACATGTTGGATCCACTTGCAAACTATGGAACACTCTACCCAAAGATGAGAACTTTACAAAGAAGCACTATGGTAACAACGCAACCAAGGAGTTTCTGATTACAATGACTTGTGATTATTTTTTTCTAATGGATATTTCCCTAACGGGATTTAATCTCCATAACATCCAAGACTTGTCATCTATGAAGGAGATATGTAAAATGCGTTGTCCAGTCAATATATCTAAGGTTGTCTATCATCTGTGTGACGGCTTATTGTTATTAATGACTAAGGATTCCTTGAGTCTAGTGGTATGGAACCCGTATTTGGTGCAAACCAAATGGATCAAACCTAGAAACAACTACCACAAATCAGATTGCTATGCTATAGGATACGACAAGAACAAGAACTACAAAATCTTTAGGATGTTCTATGATTGTCGGAATGAGGTAAGGCATGAGATCTACGATTTTAGATATAATTCGTGGAGGGCTATCTTTCCTAGCTTTTATCATCCACGGTTTAGTACACGAGGCGTGTCCTTGAAGGGAAATACTTACTTCCTTTTTGATAAAGCGAAAGAAGGTATAGTCTGTTTTGATTTTACAAGTGAGTCACTTGGAGAGCCGCTGCTTCTGCCGTTTGATGATAATGGTGATGTGATTCTATCTTGTGTTGGAGAAGAGCAGCTTGCGTTGCTTTTATGTAGGTGCCGGGTTAGATATGAGATGGAGATATGGATTACAGTTAAGGTTGAGCCGGATGCGATGTGGTGGAGCAAATTCTTTAAAGTTGATGATATCCAACTTGTGCGTGGATCTCACTTTCAATCTTTGTTTAAAGTTCAGAGTTTCTTCATTGATAAAGAGAAGAAAATAGCAGTTGTTAGTGGCAAAGACTATACCTATTTTAGCCGCGAGATATTGATCGTTGTTGGAGAGGATGGGTGCTTCCAAGAAATTGATACGAGAGATGTGTTCTCTTATGTGCCAAGCTTGGTGAAGATACAATAAGTAAGGTCCTCTAGTACCTGTTGGAACAAAAGGAGAAGACCATTGTAGACTGATTAATATATTACAGCACCTTGTTTGTTTCTTGCACATCATCTATTTTTTTTAATATTCTTTAATTATTGATTTGAACCAACCTGGTCAATTGTTTCTAATCAGTTTAACCCATATCCCGACCAACGTTTGTGAATGCCCCAATCGAAAACTATTTTTTGAATCATTTTTATCTTGTGTTGCATGTTACATGTAGTAGCTAGTACACCTTTGCTTGTGCTAATTACTTATAGCTTCCCTAAAATGAGAAGGGCTGATATGATCCGGTGCTGAAATAACAATCAATGTATATAAATAACATTCAAGTCAAGTACATCTAAACTTTGATATGTTTTACGTTTCATATGCAATTTCGTATCCATTCTCTTGAAGACGACGGCCACATGTGTTGCATGTTACATGTAACTAGTACGTCTTTGCTTGTGCTACGTACTTAGCTTCCCTAAAATGAGAAGCGGTGATATAATCTGGTGCTGAAAACAATCCAAGCAGTTAGAGAATCCAAGATGATGATTCCGAGGAGTGAGCTAGGCTTAGCCGTGTATATCAAGATCGCGAGAGTGAGTTGCTTTAGTCACTTTGCAGAAGCAAGTACTAGTCCCTGGTCTCATCATAGTTAAAATAGAGGCAGCATACTTTGGTGAATACAAAGCAGAATCTGCATCCCTCAACAGACTAGGTGATAATTAATTCGTTGTTCCAAGAGTTTGGAAACCTAACAAATGAATCAAACATACTAAACCAACAATAACACAATTCATTCACCAGAAGCAAAGAGCTTCACTAGAGAAATTTTGTAATAGTTTTCAAATTCTCAATCTATTAAAACGATTATCTATATAAATATGGCCACCAATTCAGACGCTAACCAAAAGTAACTTTAAAACAGAAATAAACCAAAATTTTTTATAGATTACTTTTATATATCCGTTAATGTAATTAAGTATTAAAAACATAAATTTGGGGTAGGTTTATCCGATCCCATGAGAAAGTTGAATCAGTTGTGGAGTTTTATTGTCTTTTCCGTGCTTTGCGGAACGTTACTTTTACTACAAACCATCAGTTCTATTTCTAAAGACAAAAGAGAAGATAACAAAACCTAAAAAAAGCATACTTCCTAAATTTTGATTTACTATTTTCTTATTTGAATTGCTTTTAATCCTTAAAAAAATCCAATACAAACGTTTGTTCTCAAGAGTTTTGTTTCATTCTCAAACCACAAGGAGTTTTTTTTCTTTCTTTTTAATGTGTTTAACAAAAATCTTAGAGTTGTATTATCTTTAGCTCAGCTGGATTTTAAGGGATTAAAGGGGTTTAACTTGCGGGGCAAGAAAACAAGCGAACGTTGTCGTACCATGGTTGCAGCGTTGGAACGAAGACTAAGCGCTTCTAAATCATTCAACTTCAAAAGAATGTTTGAGTCATCTACGACGAAACAACAACAACAACAACAGTCTCAAACCATTGTCGTGGAGAACATAGATTCTCATCTTGTCGAATCCAACACACCTGAAAGCCAAAACTCCGACAGCTTCGCAGAAAGTCCCGTTGAGAATAGCCGTCCAATGATTTCCCCTCTTACTCGGCCGGGAAAAAGACCCGACAGACAACAAGCAGGTATGAACCTTTTTACTACTTTTTTTTCCCAATACAGTAAAACCTCTATAAATTAATAATGTCGAGACCATGAAAATCTATTAATTAATAAAGGTTTTAATTTATAGAGAGATTTTCCGAATTTGAAAAGTATTTTCAAAAAATATTTAAAAATAAACTCTAACATAAATTAATGTGTATATATATACATATAATTTAAAATTTTTACATAATTATTAATTTATAATATTGAAAGGACCATATATTTACAAAGGATTTTCAAAAAAATTATTATTATCTTATTATTTTATCGAAATGTGTCTAAAAATACACTAGTCCCAACTTGGGACCGAAAAAATTTATTAATTTATAAAGAGTATTAATTTATCGAGTATTAATTTATAGAGGTTATACTGTAGATTGTTTCCTAAAAAGGAAACCCTAATAATAACATAAAGTATTGTAGATATGGAGATGATGAAAGACAGGTTCGCTAAGTTACTTCTTGGAGAAGATATGTCCGGTGGCGGAAAGGGCGTATCTTCTGCTCTTGCACTTTCCAATGCCATCACAAATCTTGCAGGTAATCTTGTTTTCCATGTTTCTTCTTCCACAAGTAAGCATTACGAGGGTTTTGGTTTCTAAAGATTGTGTTGGTGGTTCGATGATTTGTTTGCAGCGTCTATATTCGGGGAACAAACAAAGCTACAACCGATGCCGCAAGATAGACAAGCGAGGTGGAGGAAAGAGGTTGATTGGTTATTGTCTGTGACTGATCACATTGTTGAGTTTGTTCCTTCTCAGCAAATGAGCAAGGAAGGAGTTTGCACTGAGGTTCGAAATTCCCATTTTTTATTTTTTAATGTTTTCAACTTCTTTAGAATGATTTAGAATGTTTTATGATTGTTTTATAATAGATTATGGTGACAAGACAAAGAGGTGATCTTCTTATGAACATTCCAGCTCTTAGAAAACTCGACGCCATGCTCATCGTAAGTGTCTCCATTAGATCTGTATTAATATGGCTTATATATCTAGCGTTTGTTGGACTAATGTTGATGATAACATGTTCAGGATACATTGGACAATTTCAGAGGACATAATGAGTTTTGGTATGTCTCGAGAGATTCAGAAGAAGGGAAGCAAGCGAGGAATGATCGATCAAACGACAAGTGGTGGCTCCCTCCTGTGAAAGTTCCTCCTGGAGGTTTATCTGAACCGGCTCGGAGAATGCTTTACTTCCAGAAAGATTCAGTCACACAGGTTCAAAAAGCTGCAATGGCTATTAATGCTCAAGTCCTCTCAGAAATGGCAATACCTGAGAGCTACATTGACTCTCTCCCAAAGGTAGATCAATCATTTACATTTTCTTTCTCTCTTGTTGTATATATGGCTTTTAATATTTGAGTTTTGTTGACAGAACGGAAGAGCCAGCCTCGGGGATTCGATCTACAAGAGCATAACAGAGGAGTGGTTTGATCCTGAACAGTTCTTGTCGATGTTGGACTTGTCGACAGAACACAAAGTGTTGGATTTGAAGAACAGGATTGAGGCATCTGTTGTGATTTGGAAGAGGAAGCTTCACACAAAGGACAGCAAATCTTCTTGGGGCTCAGCAGTTAGCTTGGAGAAGAGAGAATTGTTTGAAGAGAGAGCTGAGACGATCTTGGTCTTGCTTAAACAAAAATTTCCCGGTCTTCCTCAATCATCCCTTGACATCTCCAAGATTCAGTTCAATAAGGTATATGCAAAAACAATGTATCAACTGAAATTTTAACTATGAGATTGAGCCCTCAAATATTGTAGATTCCTTGAGTGGCAAGAGACAAATATGAACTAATGATTGGTTTAATGAATACAGGACATTGGGCAAGCGGTATTGGAGAGTTACTCGAGGATACTTGAGAGCTTGGCTTACACAGTGATGTCAAGGATAGAAGATGTTCTTTACACAGATTCATTGGCACTAAAGCAGGCTTCAACGGTTGATGAAACATCAGATGGTGGGAGAACAGAGACGGATTCGGAGTCAGCAGGATCGTCTAACTCGGGAGAAGACACCGAGAAGCTTGACCCGCACTACTCCAAGACCTTGCTGGATTTCATGGGCTGGAACGATAATAGTTCGAAAGGCGGCGACAAATATACTAAATCGCCAAATCTTACTCCGAAAAAGCTCTCATACTTGGAGAAGTTAGAGAATTTGAACGGGTTTAGAAGCCCTAAAGATAGACATTGATCATGAAAAGATCATTGTGAGATACTTTTATAGAGGACATAAAAGTGTAGATAGGGAAAAAAGGAATGAAAGCAAAGTAGAGATCAATTCATATCCTCTTCCTTCAGTCTTATACTTTCATCGGATAGAGAAGTCTTTAGCTTAAAGGGTTTTAAACTCTTTAAGAAGAAGATTACTATATCTCAGTTGTACATGTTTGTGTTGTTCCATAATCTTTAAAATGTTCTCTTTGTCTTTTCTTCACTTCCAAAATGTTTATAATACGTTTTGTTATGGGCATATATTACTCATGGAAATAACATAACATGGCTTGAAAGATGAGTATCTAAGCTCTTTTTTCCTAGCAAAACTCTTATCATTTCCACTATAGGTAATAGGACTTGAAACCGTTCGAAATCGTGAACTAGCCCATTTTGAATGTATTGCAAAGATTTGAATCCATTTTCTATTAAATTATAAAGATAATGAAAGTTTGTAACATTATGTACTAAACTCTTACAAGTACAAATAATTTTTATCCATTATAAATGTTAAAAAAATTTCAACCGCTAATAAACAAATTCTATATGAACCAACCGCTAATAGAACCACTGAAAGTTTGATACAATTACAATAAAAATTAGAAAATGATAATTTTGACTAACTTATGATATATCCGAAAACCTCAATTTAGGTATTCGAATAATTTCAATAGTCGAATAATTGCAGTATAAGTGAATAAAATTATTTCGGCATTCGAATAATCTCTTTTGTTAACATCAAATAAGCCCACACATTGTTTACAAAAGAAAAAAAATATAAGTTACATTTGTATACGAATAATTCATGCCAAATTATCAGCTTTTGTATTTGTCTTAGCTAAATTACTGAAAAAATCTTTGATACTAAATAATTTTTTAATGCTTGAAACTTATATTATTGACTAAGACAATTATTTTATCCTAAAACATTCAAATAATGTCATATCCATGTGATTGTAAATGATTAGAAGAAGTTCATGTTGTTTTAATCTCAAGTCCACCTTAATAACATTTATTTTTTCAACACTTTGAAAGAAATTACCTAAAACACCTTAATCCAAAACATATAAAAATCTCAACAAAATTAGAAATAAAGACAAAGGTAATAATATCATAGTTTTTTCACAAATTTTGATAATTTTTTTCTCTAAAATAATAAAATGATTAGAGACATTTACATTTGTTTTTTTTTTAATATGAAAAGTAACAAAATTTGTTTTATAATAATAACAAAAAGTAATTAATAAACTAATAACAAATTTTCCGAAACAGACTGGAAACAGATACTCACCGTCGAATTGTAGAGTCAGCTTCTTCTTCGTTGAATCTTTTGACCTTTCTTCCATTGTTGATCTCTCCTTCCTTCTTCTCTCTTGTCAATTTCTGGGCTTTACGATTCGCTTCTTTTGGGTTTTTAGTTTATGGGCGACGCGAAACCTGGGATCGTCATGGCTAACAGAGATCGTGAGCTTCTGATTCCAGTTGCTCATTCCGGTGAAGATGATCAAGATACTACACCTAAACCCTCTTCTTCTTCGTCGTCTTCTTCTCATCATTCTGGTCAAGAGGTTATTATTATTATTACTCTTTTTCTTTAATTCCCCTCTTCGATTTTAGAATTGTGTCTTTAGGGTTTTTGTAGGTTGTGAATTGTGATGTTTGTTTTTCTGCGATTTAGGGTTTTCGATTGGCGAAATTTGTTAAATTTCGATTTGGGTTTTGCTGGGTTTGTGTTGAATGTTAATCGTGGTTTGTAAATTACGGACCTTGGTTTCGAGAATTTGAAAAAAGTTAGCTGAGCTTGATCTGAAACAAGGTTTTTGAGAAACTAGGATTTGTATTCGTTTTGCTGAAAGAATTGTGAATTTTTGAGATTGCTCTGTTTAATTTGTTTCTTGATTAGTGATTCCAATGATTAAGCTAAGCAAAATTCTTCAAATTTCAATTTTTGTTGCGTGAGTGCTTACTGTAATTAACAATTTGCTAAAAAGCTTGGGGAAATATTTTTGGTACTGCGAGAGTTAGCTTAGCATGATCTCTTTTCATTTGCTCAAACATGTAAGAATTTTTAGAGATTGCTCTATTTTAGTTTCCTTAAACTTATTTGTTTCTGGATGATTACTGATACCAATGAACTTAGAAAATTTAGTGAAATACAGAAGAAAGTGTTTATCTGGAGTTCAATCTTGATGTGTTTCCTGACTAAGAACTGCTTTATCTTATAGACCTTTTACAAGTTGATCAGAAGCTGGGCATCAAAGAAGTTCATGACTGGATGGTAAGAAGCGTCTGTCTTTCTTGCTTAGTTTTTTTTCATTTGTTTTCCTAAACTATCGCCTTTATTACTTGTTCTTGTTCACGAGTTCTTCTACCAGTAGTTTCTGACTATTGTAAATCGTGCAGTGTAATCTTGCTTCCAATGGCGATTACTTTCTACATTACTTGGTGGTTTATTCATTTCGTTGATGGATTTTTCTCCCCGATATATACTCATCTCGGAATTGATATATTTGGTGAGCTTCTTCCAGTCCTACTATATCTCTGTCTGTTAACGAATTGTCTGTTCATTGGCAATCACGTAGTAACTCTATGTTATCTAGAACTAGAAGAACTTGTTTGGGGGAATATATAGCCAAATGATTTTGGTTTTTGATATATACTAATAACAAAAACCAAAATCATTTGATTTTACCATTGGAAGGGAATGTTGAAGACAGTGTTTGATGTCAGTTTCTTTTTGTAAAATTGCTTTCCAGGACTTGGTTTTATCACGTCAATTACATTTATCTTCTTGGTTGGGGTATTCATGTCTTCATGGTTGGGTACATCGGTTCTAAATTTGGGAGAGTGGTTTATCAAGCGAATGCCATTTGTTCGTCACATCTACAATGCCTCCAAGCAAATCAGCACTGCCATATCACCAGGTACGGTTTTTGTTGCTTATTTAATCTCTGGTTTGGTCATTTTTTGGTTGAGTCTAAACTGTATGACTTCTCACCATTATATTCCAGATCAAAATACCCAGGCTTTCAAAGAAGTCGCCATTATAAGGCATCCACGTATTGGTGAATACGCAATTGGGTTCATTACATCGACTGTTGTTCTCCAGGTATGTTACAAGAAACCGTAACCCTCTTTCTGGAATTGAAGGTTCTTATAAAAGCTAAACGTTTCAAAATCATTGCAGACATACGCAGATGAGGAGGAGCTTTGCTGTGTATATGTGCCAACAAATCACCTTTACATTGGGGACATATTCCTTGTTAATACAAAAGATGTGATCAGACCAAATCTTTCAGTAAGAGAAGGCATAGGTAAGGAAGGAAGATCCACTGACTTTCATATTAGAAACATTGAGAGATACCGATCCTCTGATCTTTACGAATGTGTTTTATTCATCGTGCAGAGATCGTTGTGTCGGGAGGAATGTCGATGCCACAGGTTCTGTCAACACTTGATATGAGAACGGCTCCAGAGAGAAGTAGAAGTAGAAACTAAGAAAAAACAAAAAAAAACAAGCAATTAGTTTTTGCAGAAAGAAATGGTTATGAAATTTGCCTTGTTACATGTCTATGTCTTCTTCGTTTGGAATTCTGATTCAGTTAATTTCACATTTGATGTTAAATCATTTAGACAACAATTGTGGTTTTAGAAGTTAAGTTCCATTTGTGTTTAACTGTTAACAACACTGTTGGTGTTGTCTTATATATGTCCTAATCTCTCCTGTTACCTATAGTAAGCTGTATAATATAAGATTGATTTAGTCCAAATCCATTTTCAGTTTTCCTTTAAAATCATCTTATGGAGAGATTCAATTCAACAGTGTTTTTACACTTTTTCGCTAAATAGACAAATTACAATTTAAATTCAACATAAATGTTTCAATTAAGATTTGTAAATATTGTTATAAACGGGCCGATGGGCCGCCAATTGTTTATAGACTTTAAAACAACGTGTAGTTTAGAGTAATTTGTGCTGCACTACATGTTGTCTTTATTGTATAAAACGCTTGTGAAAGGAACCAAAAACCCTAGGTACTAATAATATTTCAGTATAAATAGCGTGAGAAAGTATAAATCATTCAGTAACAAAGCAACAACTTCTTCTTTAGGGTTTCTTTTAGATCTCCGCCGATTAGTTTCTCTCTGTTTTCTCTTTTTTTATTTTTCTGGGTTTTCTGTATGATCTGAGTTAGAGAATGGACAGTGACGATTGATATTAAGGTCTCGTTCGTCGTAACAACGGCCGTAAAAAGCCTATTTGCCGACCACTCTGTTATATCACCACCCATAAACTGAGTCCATTCTCTTCTTCTTCTCCTTTCTTTGTTTTCTTTGTTTTGTCTTCTCTTTCAAAATCGAGTTTTTATTTGGCCAATGATTTAAACAATAAATAATAGACAAGCATATGTCTGAATTAAATCTTTGTTGATAAATCTAATCTTCTCTATGAGGCCAGTTTCGTTTCATTTCAATATTTGGTTTTGGTTTTTTTTGTTCTGTTTTTGGTAGTGGCCGGTGATTTAAATGATTATTGACAAGCATATGTCTTAATTAATCCGTGTTGATAAACCTAATCTTCTCTATGAGGCCTCTCTATTGTTTAATCCAAATACGATTTTAGGTTTTTTGTTGTGATGAGAAATTTAGAGGAAATTAGGGGTTCAAGTGATGATTGATAATGCATAGTTCAGATGAATAAATACTATGATTAATATCTTCAGCACAGTCTTTCGCTCCTATCTGATGATCCCCTTTAATCCCCTAATTCTCTCATCTTACTTTTAACAAAATTTTAAACTACGAAGTTTTGTGTTTCCTAAGTATTTGTGTTCAAATGTTCTTGGATAATGATGATTATAAATCTTATTCACTTAGAATATATTGCTTATAATCTGATTTAGTTGACATAGACGAGAAGTTGTTGGCTTAGGATCCCCCTGGTTGGATCCCCCTGAACAAGCTTGTTGTGAAGTTGATTGTTATTGGGCTGAATTTATCATCTTATGGGCCGCCTATTGTGATTAAAAACCAAATGGGCCAAAGAAAATGTAAATATTAAAGACAAAAATGTAAATTATCATATTGATAACTGAGAAAGATATGGAAAATTGTAAAATTCAATCTTATAAACAATTGAAAAAGCGCACTTTGTGTTTTTTCTCCGTCGTTATAAAACAAATTAACCTAAACCTAAACTCATCTGTGACGATGGCCTATTACGTTTCCGATGTGTTACCGCATAAAAAGAGAAGGAAGGTGGTTACTTCGTCGTTTTCTTTGCCAGATGCGGTTGCTATAAGTTGCTTTGCCCTTGTTTCAAGATTTGACCATGCAGCTTTGTCTCTCGTCTCCAAAAGCTTCCGCTCTATGCTTGTTTCCGATGATCTTTACCAAACAAGATCGTCGATGGGTTACACTGAGAAGTTCCTCTACGTTTGTTTATGCGAGCCTCCTAACCTAACCCCACGTTGGTTCATCATCCGCCCGAGTCTAGACTCTGCCACGGGGAAGGAAGTGAATCTTGCTCGTCCCATCCCTTCGTTTCCTTGTCAGCCACGTAAAGGATCCTCTGTTTTGGCGTTGGACTGGGGGATCTATGTCATTGGTGGATGGGTTAATGGTATGCCTACGTCAGGTGTCTTGCTCTTGGATTGTCGATCTCACAAGTGGCGTCACGTGACGTCCATGAGAGTGGCTCGTGTTTTTGCAGAGGCTTGCGTGGTGGATGGGAAGATTCAAGTGTTGGGAGGCTGCGAGGACAAGAACGACTTGGGAGAAGTGTTTGATCCAAAGACACAATCTTGGACTGATGTGAAAGTTTTAAAGGTTGAGGAGAAGAAGGTTTACGTTGTGGACTCATGGAATAGAAGCTTTTACCACTTGCAGAGACAGAGTATTCAAGGCTCAAAGCCTAGGAATAGCGTATATAGCAAGGATTGGTGTGTTGTAGATAAGTTGATATACAGTTGTGGTGTGGACGGTGGTATATACTGGTGTGAGCCAAATGATTTGGATCAGTGTGAGGCAGTGGGAAGATATTGGAGGAAGGTGAATGGTTTGCAGAATCTATACAAGATGCTACGTGATTCGAGAGCAGTCCACTTTGGTTGTAAGATGGTGAAGATGTGGGAGTCATACAAGATGATGTACAATATCAACAAAAACCTTGAAGAGTTGCTTCCGGAGAACAAATTGACCAATCTTGGTCAGAATGTTTTGGTCTTTGGGGAATGGCTCGGTGGTGTTTTTGGTCAAGAGAGGTTGGAGATTTTGTGTGTGGAGATTTGCTTGGAAAGGCTTAGTGGAAACGAGATTTTGGGCAGGACTGTGTGGTTGGAGCGGATCCTTGTAATCGATCTTTGCACAGTCGATCCTCTCTTGTATAACTCTAAAATCTTGTATCATACCCATGTTGATGTTTGAAAACTTTGATTTATATATCTTTGTGCTTTATTAAGTGTTTATTCTTGTATATGGTTAGTAAAATCACAGTTCTAATAAGAAGCTGTTCAAGTGTTTAATATAATACATGTACACGCAATTTTTATATGACATTTCAAAATGAACAAGAAATAAGAAGAAAAATTGGATTGTCATATCTACTATTTCATTGTGCGCAACGAATTATTCTTGATACGAAGAAACAAGTGATATAATCTGTTGTATTATATTGTAATGAAACTATGTTATGGTACAAAGCAAATGTTTTAAATATGTATATGGTATGAAGCCAATGTCATAACCGCATTAGATTGGTAAATTCCATAATCGCATTTTAAGGTATAACAAAACATGGCGTAATTACGTTTTCTAATGGGATTGTGGCAATTTACTAATCAAGAAAATATATACATGATAGTATTAGAAAACGTTAAGACGAATTTACGTTTTTATTCTATAAATTTTTATTTTGTAAGTTTTTTATTATTATACGAGCGTGTTACCAATTAAGGTCATAGTAACACCGAATATAATTACATGCCACTAATTCTCCCTTTTATTTTTATAAATTAAAAAAAAAACCTATGAAACTGTAATGCGTAATTAAGAAGAAACAACATAATTAGCTTTAAGAAGAAACAAATCTATCTTTCTCTCATTTTTTTTTTACTTTTTTTTTATTTCTCTTTTTTGTATTTTTCCTTTTCCCCACAATTGAAAAGTGTGACACAAATGCCTCGGTTACAAATGTCAAACTTGCAGAATTGAGAATGTAACTGACACCCAAAACTAGTGACAAATGGCCACCAAACCTATGAGTCTTCGTCTTACCAAACCTAACGCTTGTAATTATTTCCCTATTTTTGTACCCATGCAGACACAAACACAATATTTATGAGCACACAAAGAACAAAACATTAACTTAGAATTAACCAAACAAAATGAAGATGACGATGTACCCAAAATCTGACTCAGACATCACAAGCCTCGTCGACCTATCATCACCAAAACGTCCTGTTTACTACGTTCAAAGCCCATCACGTGACTCGGAGAAGTCTTCTTCGGCTGCTCTAACGACTCACCAGACCACTCCCACAGAGTCTCCTTCACACCCGTCTTTTGCTAGCCGTGTATCCAATGGCGGTACTGGTGGAGGGTTCCGGTGGAAAGGACGGAGGAAATATCACGGTGGAAGATGGTGGCCGGCTGATAAAGAGGAAGGTGGTGATGATGGACGGTACGAGTACGACGATCTTTACGAGGACAACAGAGGAGTCTCTGTTGGTACTTGTCGACTTATTTTGGGAGTTGTCGCGACTTTGAGTATCTTTTTGCTTCTTTGTTCTGTTCTCTTTGGTGCTTCTCAATCTTTCCCTCCTATCGTCTACATCAAGGTAATTTAATCTTTACTTACAACATATATATAGTAAAAATCATTTTCACTTTACTTGGTGTGTTTGCATTTGCGTTGATACGTTTTGAAAATAGTTAGATTTTTCTGTTTTGTCACAATGTATTTTTAATTTGGTGATTGCCCTTTACAAATTAACAAGACAATTTGTTTTTAGCTTCTAAACATTGTTGGTTTCATTTGATATATGATAACATGTTTGATATGCTACACAAAAACACATAATCGATTGCGTCCCTAATCAGTATTGGACTAGAATTTGTGTTTGTGTTCATATAATTTTTAAAAGAGTGTTTTCAATACTATATATATAATATTATTAATAGCACTTGTAAAATAGGTTAAAGCTAGCTAAGTGTATAATTTTGAGATACATGTGTTACATATAGGGTGTGAATGTGCATAGTTTTTACTACGGAGAAGGTTCAGACAGTACAGGAGTTCCGACAAAGATCATGAACTTCAACTGTTCAGTGGAGATCACAACACACAATCCTTCTACATTGTTTGGCATCCACGTCAGCTCCTCTGACATCAACCTTATCTACTCTCGTCAGTTCACGCTTGCCATTGCGCAGCTGAAGAGTTACTACCAACCAAAACAAAGCAACCACACGTCCAGGATCAACCTCGTTGGCTCCAAGGTTCCACTATACGGAGCAAGCGCTGATTTAGTTGCTTCGGACCACAATGGCGGAGTTCCCGTGAAGTTGGAGTTCGAGATCCGGTCACGAGCCAATATTGTCGGACACTTGGTCAAGTCTAGACATCAAGAACACCTCTCTTGCTTCTTTTCTATCTCTTCCAATAACACAACGTTTGTAAAATTCACCCACAAAACTTGTATTTGATATATATAGATTTTTCAAAAAAACTTGTATTTGATATAGATACATTCTTTATTTTATTTTTTCGTGTAACAGTTTTACTTATGTTTTGTGGAATATGTATTTTTTCTAGCTTATTATTCATCGAGAAAAATCCTCAATAAAAAAAAAAAACTATATATGTCAAAAGAAAAAAGAAAAAATAATAAAGAAATAAAAAAGAAAGCTTCAAAGGGTTTGTTACTAAATCCACTCTCTATGCCTATTTCTCTTCTTCAATTATCTTTCTCCCATTTTTAATATTCACGTCGATCACAAAACCACACACAGAGACAGAAGAAAAGATGATGGACGCTACGTCAGAATCAGAAAGAACAAGTTTGGACCTGTCTATATCATCACCTAAACAAGCTTACTACGTTGAGAGCCCTTCAAGCGTGTCTCACTTAGACGATGGTGATAAATCCTCATCCTCTGCTTCGCTTATTCAGGTTCATACACCAAACTACACCATTCTCACTGAGTCACGTCTCTCCTCTTCGAGCCGTACCTCCAATGGGACAAGCGGTATGGGATCTCGGTGGAAAGGAAGCTCCCGGAGGAGTAATTTGTATTGGCCGGAGAAGCCTTACACGATTCATGAAGATGAAGTTTATAATGAAGAGAACAGAGGATTGTCAGTGGGACAATGCAGAGCGGTTTTGGTTGTGTTAGGGACTGTGGTTGTGTTCTCTGTTTTCTGCTCTGTTTTGTGGGGTGCTTCTCATCCTTTCTCTCCTATTGTATCAGTCAAGAGCTTCAGCCTCCATAGCTTTTATTACGGAGAAGGAATAGACAGAACAGGGGTTGCCACCAAGATCCTGAGCTTTAACAGTTCAGTGAAGGTTACAATACACAGTCCTGCTCCTTACTTTGGCATCCATGTCTCTTCTTCAACCTTCAAACTCACTTTCTCCACTTTCACCCTTGCCACTGGTCAGGTACTCTCTGTTTTCAGAATTCACTCATTCTCCTATATCATCATTGGAATCTGATTTTCATATTCTGATTGTGAAGCTTAAGAGCTATTACCAACCAAGAAAGAGCAAGCACATGGCCATTGTAAAGCTCACTGGTGCCGAGGTTCCTTTGTATGGAGCAGGACCGCACTTAGCAGCTTCCGATAAGAAGGGAAAAGTTCCAGTGAAGTTAGAGTTTGACATCAGATCGCAAGGTAACCTTTTGGGGAAGCTGGTCAAGTCGAAGCACGTGAATCACATCACATGCTCCTTCTTCATCTCCTCCTCCAAGACATCCAAACCCATAGAATTCAGTCACAGGACCTGTAAACACGTTACAAAGTAAACACTCTTTCTATATTTCTTTACCCTGCAAATAAGAATTTCATGTTCTTTTTTCCATTGCAAATTTGCAAATTTTTATTCAAATGAGCAATTTTTTCCTTCATAGAATGGTACATGGTTTTCGTTTTATCTGCACAAGTGTTTGAAAGGAAAAATCAAAAGGTCTCAATTCTCTATTGCTTATCCACAGCACAACCACCTTCTAGCACTGTCCCGTTTACTCTGTTTGGTGGCCAATACCGAAAAACTGACCGCCCAATAATATTCTTCAAAGGCAGAGGACCCCTGAAGACAACACAAGTTTTCCAGAATAAGGAACAATCCAAAAATGAGCTAAACCCCATGATAGATATCTCAAAATGAACAATATGCCTCTTACCAGACGTGTGAATCATAACTGTTATTCCGGTTGTCACCCATCACAAAGACTGAGTTTTCCGGTACCCTCTACAATGTTGAAGCAACCAAAATTAGAATAGAAAATAAAACAGAAGGTTTAGGTTTTAACAGTTGATTAAAATCAAGGATGGTACTTACAATTGGTGTCATTTCATAACCAGGAGGCTCTAAGATGAATTTTTCATTTCTAGCAACACCATTAACCATCAGTTTCCCATTATGTACCTACGCATATTACCCCAAAATCAAATAACCATCAGCTTCACTATCACAAGGCTCTCCACTAGTACCACATGCTAAGAGCCAGAAAATGATCATACATACCTCTACAACGTCGCCTTCTTTCGCAACAATCCGTTTAATGAATACATCCGCATCAGTATACCCAACTTCCTGTAGAACTGGTGGACTTTTGAAGATTACAATATCGTTTGCACAAGGCTTCCTGAAATAATAACTCACCTGTAACAAAACACCAAAACCCATCAATAAATCTCTCTAAAGATGCAACCTTGACACTGTAATCAAAAACACAAAAACCAAATGAGTGAAACCTTAAACAACATTCCATAACTTCCTAATCCCTTAACTATATAACTGACGATTCCAAAACTTGGTCTTTCACTAAGAAAGCTAAAATCTAAACTGAATACATGAAACAACACCTTAACTATATGACTGATGATTCCAAAACTTGGTGGTTTGACTCTGAAGATGTAACCTTGACATTGTAATCAAAACACTAAAACCAACAATGAGGGAGACCTTAAACAACATTCCATAACTTCCTAATCCCTTAACTATATAACTGATGATTCCAAAACCTGGTCTTTCACTAAGAAAGCTAAAATCTAAAATGAATGCATGAAACAACACATTAACTATTTCACTGATGATTCCAAAACTTGGTGGTTTAACACTAAAGATGTAACCTTGACATTGTAATCAAAACACTAAAACCAACAATAAGGTAAACCTTAAACAACATTCCATAACTTCCTAATCCCTTAAACTATATGACTGATGATTCCAAAACTTGGCCTTTCACTAAGAAACCTAAATCTAAAATGAATACAGGAAACAATACGTTCTCTGCAACTAATCTGTCTCTAACATCAAAGATGTAACCTTGACATTGTAATCAAAACACAAAACCTTAACAACACTCCACACAACTTCCTAATCCCTTAACTATATATAGCTGATGATTCCAAAACTTGATCTTCCACTAAGAATACAATACCTTCTCTGCAACCAATCTGTCTCCAACATCAAAAGTAGGATACATGGACAAGGAAGGAATGTATCTAGGTTCAGCGATAAAAGATCGAAACGCCAAGGACACAGCAATAGCCACGAACACAGTCTTCGCATCATCAGACGTGAAATCAAGCCATTCCGGTAAAAGCCTGTTTTTTTCCTCCACTTCACCTTCACCATCATCACCACTGTCTCCGCCGTCTCCTCCACCTCCACCGCCGCCGCCGGAGTCTAAAGACGGCGCAGACTTCGTTGTCTCACCTGAATCTTTAATTCCATTGCAGCTGATACTTCTCCGGTAGGTTCCACGGGGGAAATTTGTTGGTCCAGTGTTGAAATTGAGACGGCGGCAAGAAACAAGGTGGGATTTTGGGGTGAATTGGTGAGAATTAGGATTAGGGTTGCTGAAAAATCTGGAATTGGAATCAGATTTGAGAAAAGCTAAGGGTTGAGTAGAGAGGTGAAGAGATATCATCGTCATCATCAAGTAAAAGCTTCAATTTTTTTTTTTCCGGTGAGGGTTATTTCTTCTAAAAAAAGGGATAAATTAAAAAAAAAAAAAAGATACTTAGGAAAAAAAATAAAAATAAAAAGCTTCAAGTGATACTACTACTTCTATTCTTTTTTGCCTTTTTCAAATCTTTCACTGAAAAATATGAAAAGAACAAAATAAAATAAATTCAAATTACAAACTTGATTAGATTAGGGACGAATAACCGAGAAGAAGAACGGGAAAAATGCCATTAAAATCTATGGAGAGTATGATTTTGTTGATTTAAATCATGTACTCTTTAACTGTTGATTTAAATCACAAACTTTTTGTTGACTCTCTATTTATTATGAAATTTTAGTTGATTTTGTCAATTTAGGCATATCGTTAAATGGTCAGACGGAGCAATTAAACGAGATTAATTTCTCGTTAACTACATCCGTCAAATACAAAAAGAAACCATTTTAAGAAAGGCCTATCTCATGTTGGAGCTCCAAGAGGAGTAGGGTCAAGTTGAAGTAGAAACAAGAGCGACTTCTGTTTTGCACTTCCGTGAGAATAGGTCTCCATTTTCTTATGAATCCCTGAAAATCAGTATCATGGAGACTCATCACGTTGTGGTGATTGATTTCAAAATCAAACTTATCCTAAACCTCTATATAAACAGACAAGTTCAAGTCATTGAAAGATAGTTGAGCGACAAGTAACACTTGGTCGATTATAGACTTAGAACACACAAATTCTAGCAATCTCTCTCTATCACAAAGTAAGTGTCTTTTGAGAGTATCGTAGTGATTTAGTTCGATAGGGCTGTTATTTGAGTGTTGCGAAAACAGTTATAGAGAAGTTGTATCCTGGGATCCTTGAATCACATAACACCGTCACACTACGGGTGATTCGAAGGGTTAAGGAAAGAGGATATGTACTCGACTCTTCTCATCTCTTATCCTTAACGTTTTTCTTGTATTTCAATTGTTTTCCCTAGTGTTGTAAATATTGCTCTTACACTTAGTGTATTCATTAGTGATGCACATCAATAAACCGTGGCAGTGAAGGACTTCGAATACATCCACTTCATCTGAATCGTTTAGACTAATGAGTTTACCTTCGCGCTTCATACATGATTCAACATCGTTGTGAAGATTGACACTCATCAAAGAAACCCTTAAATTCATCATCATGACCACCATAAACTCTCTTTCCTTTGTTACTTGTCGACCAAGGTGTTTCTTTGTAAAGAAGTGATCTTTAAATAAAGTATTCCATCTTTTGCAAGTTGAACGTACTCTTCTTATAGATGTAACCGGAACCCTAGAGAGAATCTCCTCCTCTAAATCCCTTGGAAGATTGGATATCTTCGTCATTGTTTCAAATCTCAACCCTAACGTAGTAAATAAGTTAGGTTAGTCTCAAAACTCCTTCTTTTGCTTCTGTGATTCTCGACAAACCCTCACTTACAGAAACCCTCTAACGAAGACGACAAAAATGATATAACAATTGAAGATGCAATAATGCAAAAACCCAATATTGATGGGCCGAAGCCCAATAAAGAATCCTGTAATGATATCAACATCTTTTTTGAGTGTTGTTGGTTGACTGGGGAAATGAAGAAAAGGATTAAAGAGAAAGAAAAAGACGTTTAGGAAGAGAGCTTAAGCGCTGTGTCAACCTCTTTCTTTTAACCAATCAAAATACGCCTTTCTCCTTCCCACGGCTGTTCTCTCTCTCTCCCGGTGACGGCGACGGTGACGGCGGCGGATAAGAAGACTGGTACATTATGTTGAAGCTTTGGAGATGGTACCAGCGATGCCTGACGGTTCATCCAGTGAAAACTCAGGTCATTAGTTCTGGGTTTCTTTGGGGATTTGGCGATGTCACCGCTCAATACATCACTCACTCCACTGCTAAACCTCGTCTTCTTCGTATCACCGTTAGTCATTTCCTCGATCTCCCTCCTTCTCTCTCTCTTTCGAACCTCGATTGAAGAAGCTTCTTCAGAAATTTGGGGATTCTCTCCGATTCTTGTTTCTTTTGGTTTTGATTTTGCTGAAATTAGTTTAGGTTGTTGCATTTACATCTCAATACCTCTAGCTTTCATGATGTTTCGTATAGATTGATTGATTCGTTCCTTTGCATCAGTGTATCTGGGACATTTCTGTGAATCGGTTTGTGTTTGCTCAATGTATTGATTGAAGCAGCTCGTTCTTAGACTTTGGTGTTAGGCAAATTTTCTCGTTGTTCTGGCCTTCCTTGGTTTTGTATGTTTCAAGGATTAGGTCATTCACATAAATAAGCAATATGACTTGGATTCATTTGTTGGTTGACGATTAGAAACATTCTCTCTATACTTAATGCATTTGCTTGTTTGTTGAGATTCCATGTTTGTGAACTGTCAACTTTGTGGCTTTCTTTGTCTAACAATCAAAGGCGTTTTAGTGTTTAGGCCAGAATATTTGTCGGCACTACAGCTCTAGTTTTCTTTTTCAAAGCTTCAATAGGTCAGAAGAGGGATTTTATGGTGATGTGTATACTTATAAGGATAATCGTGGATACGTGGAGCGAATGTGTTTTTGTCGTTCCTTACGCTGTTAGTGTGGTACTTGAATTATAAGTTTATAACTCCCCCTTTACGTCCACTGGTCGCTGATCATTTTTTCTGGATTTGCATTGCAACTTTAGCCTATTGCTTACCTTCTATGGAATCATGCTATGTTTTTTTAGTTTTGACATCTTATGCTCAGAGTCATTTCCTACTTTGCTATGTTTTCTGGCTACCTTATATTTTCACTTTACTTTAGAACTCATCGTATAAAGAAACCTGCTTGAGTTTTGCCACTATGTTGTATCTAAGTTTTGGCTTATATAGAGAATTTACGTCTACTCTAGCACTAAAACAGTGTTCCATATAACAGGAGACAAATAAAGATGGTGACGTAGATGCAGATTTCAAGGTCAACTGGAAGCGAGTAGCTATCACGAGCATGTTTGGGTTTGGTTTTGTCGGACCTGTTGGCCACTTCTGGTATGTTTCCTTCTGATCTCAGATCATTTAGTTATAGCTTCCTATGCAAAAGCCAATCTCCTCATGTTGCCTCGCACCTAATCACTGAATCAGATACTAAGAAAATGTGATTTATTGACAGATTGATAAACCTGATATTGTTCTATTTTCGCTTGCACAGGTACGAAGGCCTGGATAAGTTTATAAAACTGAAGCTTCGATATGTACCAAAGTCAACACGTTTTGTAGCTGCCAAAGTTGCAATGGATGGACTTATCTTTGGCCCTATAGATCTACTGGTGTTCTTCACATACATGGGATTTGCCACAGGGAAGAACACAGCTGAAGTGAAAGAAGGACTCAAGAGAGATTTTATTCCGGCTTTAGCTCTTGAAGGCGGAGCATGGCCGCTTCTTCAGATTGCAAACTTCAGATATGTTCCCGTGCAATACCAGTTGCTTTATGTCAACGTCTTTTGCCTAATAGACAGTGCATTCCTCTCATGGGTCGAGCAACAAAAGGATGCAGCTTGGAAACAATGGTTTACTTCATTTCAACCACTGAAAGAACGAGGTGGCCAAGGCGGAGTATGATCGTTTTCCTTGTCATAATCTTTGAATGAAAACAAAAAAGCGAGTGTAACCGGCGATTTTCAATACCGAAAGTTGCCTAGGATACAGATTCTTGATCAAATATTATTTTGTTTCACAAGAATTCGGTACAAGTGAATAAATGACTGTTAGAATTGAACGAATGCAACAGGACATGGCTAAAGAAATGAGCTATAACCGCCTCCGAGTGGTACTCTTGGAAGAAACACAACAGAAGCCTCTAGACATGAACAATAACTGAAGTCAATAGCCTGAAAAAAAACAGGGAAGATAATTAGTCCATGGTTTAGTAGCTGTTTCATCTGAAAACAAATGTGAAAATAATGGTAATTCACATACGGGAGAGCTGAGTAGTAATCCACAGTGATTGGCTAAGACAGGTAGGCTTCGTCTTGCAGCGGCTGGGATAAACTTCAAGGACCTAAGAGCTTTTTGTGAGGATGTCGTAGAATGATTTCTGTTCGAGGATCTTGAAAGCTCTGCTAGATATAGCCAGTCAGATTCAACCATATGCCGAACCTCCACTGATGTAGCAGTCCTCACTGGACAATTTCCGCAGCCCGCTTCATCACATTGGTGGTCACTCAAGTTCCATCTGATGAGAAAGCGGTTCATGAAGTAGAGACTTTGCCCTGGCCAAAGATGTACTTTATCAGAGGAAGATGCAATGTTAGTTTCATGCTCTGATTCATCCACTGATTTCTCTTCTGTTTTAGTTATGAACCTACTGGTTTCATCCCTCTGCAGAAGACCGATGGTTGTATAGGTTGATTCGCTGAGAAGACTGAGCTCTCTAGCTTTACTCAATAAGGATTCAGATGCAACATCCACAAACTGGACTTCTAACAATCTGCTTGGAGCGGCATGGTAAGGAAAAGATTTTGCGTTTGCTATAATTTTTCCAAGGTCATCAGATGTAGGATTTTTGTGAGTTTCATTGCAGCAAATGTTCAAGAGTTCTGCCTTCGACGGTAAAGGACAGTCAGCGGAACAGGAGACTATAATTTTTGTCCCTTTCGACCCTGGAGCCGGACTAAGGTAGCAACCAGCAGCTGTTAGAGATGTCTGCGTCCCCAAATGAAGCAGATGTCACTTAAAATAGTACAGAATAACATCTAGAGGAGCAGAACAACATAAAAAAATGATTACCCTGCATGGAATTGCACGGATGTAGTTCAAAAGCAACTTTGAAGTGTTTCCTCTGATTGGTCTTTGCCGTTGAGAGATAAACTGGAGTTTCAAGAGAAAGGAAGAGTTAAGAAAATACTCAAAGGAGATGATAAAATTTATCAAAGGAAAGAACTCAAGATGTAACACCTGCAGGACCGCAGCGAGATACTTTGAGAGGCAAATGTCTTTAACTTCTGTAGGGTTTAGTCTCTCTAGATCAAGAATAGCATACCCTTTCTGCCAATGCCAACATCAAAACAGAGTGAATTTTCACTCTTACCAAGTCAGAAACGGTTTATACATACGAGGTTAAACTGCAAAATGCTCTTACATCTGTCACTGTTACAGTCTGATTTATTAAGTCCGTACAAACTTTATCGACATATAAACGTGTTCTCCTGCATTCAGAAATGACTGCTTGCAGCTCTGATTTGAAGTTACCTGAAAAGAAAAACAATAATTTACATTAGTCTCACACATCACCATCAAGCTTAAGAGAACAAGTCCGGCTTGATGTTTGATAGACTTGCCTGAATGTAGATTTCCTATTGATGTTCGAATCCTATTCCGAACAAATAACTGACTACGATTAGTCGGATCCTCAACCCAATCTTGTCTACCCCATTGACATATCTGCTAGTAAATATTATAGAGTTGGTGACAACAACCATAGAGCTATAAAACGACTTTTGAGTTTCTAGTTTCACGAGAACCTTGTACATGTCTTCTTTCCATAAATCCAGCAGTGGACGCACTAAGAGAATAGACCGATTCTTCATATGTTTTGCATCTAACTGCAAATTTTGGGAGAAAATCTCTGAAGCAAACGCTGTCCCTGCAAGCCCAAGTACACCGCTACTACGAGATAACCTAAGAATGAATAACTCAGCCTGCATCCAACTTCAGACAACATTTTCATTAATATCTCAATATGGACCTCTCCTTCTCTAAATTCTCAAAGAGCCATTTACCTGGTCATCTGCATGATGAGCTATAAGCAAGACCTCAATCTGTTGTCGAAAGCATACATTCGAAATCATCTGATACCTCATTTCACGAGCTGCTTCTTGCAAGTGACCAAGCTTTGGTCTACCATCAACCCAATCACAACTTGCAATCTCACATCTGATTCCTATAAATTTTCCCCCAAGTTACTAAATCAAACTCAAAAAAGGTTACATCTCATATTCACAACTTCACACTTACCCATTTCAGAAACTCTAGAACACACAAGTTCAGCCTCATCTTTGCTCTCTTGTCTTAATCCATGATCCACAACTACAGCAACAAGTCCATCAATGAAACCATCTGACTTATCAACACAACCTAATCCTTCAATTTTCCATTTTGCAGTTAATACACAAAGCGCCATACTATCAGGACCACCTGAAACTCCCAAAGCTGAAACACACAAAATTGTCAAAACACTGTTTTCTGGTTGAAGTGGAACCAATTGAATTGAAAAATTTAGCAAATTTACCAATACGGTGGTGAGGTTTGAGTCCTGCCATGGCCATTCTCCTATTGAAAAGCTCCTTATACCTCGTTTCATCCACCGTCTCGGGAACACAAGCGTGGTTACAGAACAATCGTGAAAATTTCCGGCGGCGGGATTGAAACGAATACGAAGAAGTGAAAAGGGTTTTCGAAAAAAAGGAAATTGAAACCTTAGCAATGGAGTTCGATAGTAAAGTCGAAGACTTTCTTCCATTGGAGCATAGAGCTAGACCTCGCGCCATGTACACGAACTCGCTGTGACAGGATTCTCCGGTTCACAATTTCGATTTATAGCTACTTCTTCGTTTGGTTTAATAAGCTTTGCTCAATTTCCGGTTTATTTATGTATCTATTCGGTTTATCTCTTCGGTTTAACAAAACACAAAGAAGCACACCAAAAGGCTCAAGACATAAACAAACAAGTTCTTGAGAAGAGAGATAGAAAAAAGAATGAAAGAATAATATTCATACCAGAATCAACATGACAACATCTAAAGAAGAAACCAAAAGAAACAATATAAATGTATCATATATCGTAGTATAGATCAATTAGAGAGTAAGGCAATTTCCTCAAATCTTTACAGTTAATAAGAAAAAAGAATCCAAAAAAAAATAACCTGCAAGTTCTCTTTCTCTTATTGGTTTTTAAAGAGAAGGTCCACTATAACCTTGACCTGTTGTTCTTTTGATCTTCCCCATCTCCATTTCTCTTGTGGCTTGACCTTCACTGCTCGAGCCTGATGGGTACAGTCCGTAGTCACTTGTTGGATTACTGTATTCTCCAGTTGTGCCGTATTCTTGAGTTCCAAGTGCCATTTTCCTAAACTTCTTCATGTCGTCGTTGTATTGGCTCGTGTCATAGTCTGTGCTTCCTCCGTATGAGCTGTAGACGTTGCTGTGACCCGGTCTCATCCCTTCGTTAAGATCAGAGAGTGATACGTTTCCTTCTAAGGCGCGTACTATCTGCTCATTTTGTATAGCAAACCACTCACTTTATTAGCATTATGTAACATGTTGAAATGACTATATTTAGCGAAAGTGAAAACAAACGAAACTGTAGCTAGGAATATGTGTTGACGATTCTTTGGACTAGTCAGCTTTTATTCAACAGGTGTTGTTTATATATTATGATGTGCATAAAAGAAGTAGGGCTAGACATATACATAAACCAAACTTTTCTTTTAAGACCAATAAACAGAACCAAACCAATCTGAAACTGAATTCTCTTCCTTAGAGAAAAAGATGATTGAGGTCAAATTAAGTTACCTGGCTCATGCGAGGTCTGCGACGAGCTGAATGGCGTACACAAGCTGCAGCGCAAGCAACCATACGAGCCATCTCCTCTCTGTCATACTCATTACCCATCTTTGCATCTGCCAAACCTTCAAAATCTCCTTCCTCAGATGCACGGTTAAGCAAGGGTCGTGCCTGTTCCACCATCAATCACATATAGCTTTTGCTTCAGTCAACAGTTAAATTGTTTAAAAAATCAGAAGTTTAGATTATATGTAGTATTAGACTCTTAGTAAGTACCCAGTCAACTAAGCTGTCATCTACATAGACATTGTTTGCATCAACAGGGCGCCTCCCGGTTATAAGCTCCAAAAGTACAACGCCAAATGAGAAAACGTCAGACTTTTCTGTGAGCTTTCCACTTGCAGCATATTCTGGAGCCAAATACCTAAAATCCCAAAACCAAAAGTTTCAGAATTTAAACAATGACTTAGATCACATACATTGCGCAAAACTGCATAAATGTACATATTTAGTAGATTCAAGATGATCTTTACCCAAAGGTTCCCATCACACGTGTAGATACATGAGTGTTTGTATCAGAAGCAATCTTGGCAAGACCAAAATCAGCAACCTGAAAGACAGAATAGCTTGAGTGACACAAATTACAAAAAAGCACTTCACAAACATATCGAATAAAGATTGTTGTCATACCTTAGCTTCAAACTTGAAATCCATAAGTATATTTGCCGCCTTAATATCACGGTGAATGATTTTCGGATTGCCTGCGCATATTATAAACATACCTCATAAACAAACAAAGACTGTATTTATCAAACATCTCTACAAAGTTTTAAGTTTTAAGACTTACAATCTTCATGAAGATATGAAAGACCTTTAGCAGATCCAAGAGCAATCTTCAATCTAGTACTCCATTCCATCGTAGGTCGTCCCTTCCCTATATTCAATTCCAAAACAAATCATCACTAATTGAAAACAACAAAAGCAATGTAACAAAAGCACAAGAAAGAGTCGAGTTTAGTTCTAACCATGAAGGTGAAACTCAAGATTGTTGTTGGGAACAAACTCATAGACAAGCAATCTTTGAACACCGGCCATGCAATAACCAATAAGAGAAACCAAATGCCTATGGTGAACTCTGCTAATGATCTCAACCTCAGCCTGAAACTCTCTTTCTCCCTGACCACTCCCAGCTTTCAACTGTTTCACAGCAACTTCTTTCCCACTTGGCAATATACCTTTATGCACATATCCAAACCCACCTTGTCCTAACAAATTAGCCTCAGAGAAGCCATTAGTAGCTCTTGACAGCTCCTCATAAGTGAAAGTGCTTTTGGAAAAGCCTAACACAAGCCCTGGAGATGGTGGAGGAAGCACCGGAAGATCCGAATAGTCAGAGCCTGCACTGCTGCTCATGAATGCAGGCGGTGGTGGAGGCGGAGGAGGTTGTTGCGGTGGAGAAGGAGGCTTAGGTGGTGGCAATGACGTCACCACGTGATTATCTGAAGGTCGTGAAGCGTTCTGTTGTTGCCAATACTGCTGCTGTCCACCGTAAGGTCCTCCAGCTGAGAAATAACATCAAAACCTCTGTAAATTCAGATCATTCTACATGCAAGATTGAATCTTTTATATAAAGGTAATCTCTTTTTTCATCAGATTTGCGACATTAGTATCCGAATTGCACGTTATCATAGAGATGACGAAGAATTGAAGTTAAAGATTCGATTTTTATGTAATGAAATTGAGATCTCTGTTTTTTTACCTTTGGGACCAGGAGGTGGTGGAGGAGGAGGAACATAGTAAGCAGCTTCATCATCGTATCTTCTTCTTCGTTTCTTCTTACAAAGAAGGCAAATCAAAGTCAATACAACAAGCGCAACAACTCCTCCAATGGCGATTCCAACGACAACCCCTGTAGATAAACCACCGGAAGAATCAGACGGCGGCGGGGGAGAAGAGTTTGATGGGTTGTTAGATGGAGTTCGTGGAGTATTAGATCCCGTGGGATTAGTTGGAGGGCTTCGAGTGATTGGTCCAGGAGGAGTTGGTGTGGTGGGAGAAGGCGGAGATGGAGTAACGGGTGCAGGAGGAGAAGGCTGAGGAAGAGGAGGAGTTGAAGATCCAGGAGGAGAAGGAGGTAAAGGAGAAGAAGGAGGAGGAGAGGTTGAGTTAGAAGATGGCGACGGAGGAGGAGAAGAAGGAGGAGGAGGAGTTGTAGTTGGAGGAGGAGAAGAAGCAGGAGGAGGAGTTGTGGAGTTAGTGGGAGGAGACGGCGGAGATGGTGATGGAGTTGTCCCTGGAGACGGCGCTGAAGACATTTTTCTCGATCTAATCAATTAAAGAATCTTGAATTCACGAGAAGAAGAAGAAGAGAATGTGAAAAAGGTTAGAGAAGAGAGAGAGAGAGAGAGAGAGAGGAGTGATCTGGTGCCTCCGAGACTAAAGTTGAGAGATTTGGACAATGGAGCTGTTGTGTTGTGTTTTTTTTTTGGTGTTCCAACGCGATTCGTCCGCGTTTTACTTCTTTCATAATCCGCGTCGTTTTTATTGGACTATACAAAATTTAGTTTTGGTAATGTTTTTAATTTGAATGTTACAAATTTAATTTTTGTGTTATTTTGACCAAAAGGTAAAATATATATTTTCTCCCAATGTTTTCAGTCACTTAAATGGAATTTTTTTTTTCAATACGTAATTATGTTTTTTCGTAATTAAAAATGTCTAGATCGAGTTGAGGAGTAATTGAATAAATTCGTTTTTTTTCCCTAGGACCAGTAGAGAAAAGTTTTAGATTCTCTTAAAACATTGGTGCATGGAAATAGTAATACAATGGTCAAAGTTATTATTAATTAGTACACAAGTTAAGCAAATTAAGAGAAGTGTATTTAATTCTTTGGTTATAGACTTATAGTATAAAATTTCAATTAATAGGCTATTAATAGTATAAAATTTGATTATTTTATTTTTTCTAATTATAGAAAATATAAGATTGAGAATGCGTAATTTTTCTCATTTTTTGAATGTGTTGGGATGATTCGATTCTACTTGCTCTAAAGCAAAGGAAGAAACAGCTGGATTGCACCAACAGCAGCACAGATTCAACAAAAGGCCACCAATTAACATTGACGTTTCCTCTAATTTATTACCATTATCTTAAAACTGGATTAAGGTTCTTAATAATACGTTTATTATGGCCTCTCAGGTAATAATGGTTTTGAATGATCTTCAGGGAGTAATAATAATATAAAGTTTATGGGGTCAATGGCTTTATCATTCGATTTGTTTTATGTTAGTTTTATGTAAAACAACCGACGACATAAGCCAAAATCTAAGGATAATACAATATTCAACGCGGCGTTTTGCGGTGATTAATTTTTGTTTATATTAATTTGGTCAAACTTAAGTTTAGTAGAGATATTTTGGTTTTTATACTCTCTCTCTTTTTTCTATTAGATGATTTTTTAAGTTTATATATTTTTCTAACAATTCTGCAGATTGTTTTTTTATTAGTTAAATTATGTCAAATAAATGATATTTAAAAAAATTAAGTATAAAAACAGATCAATTTATAATCGGTGTGCATAATTCTAAAAAAAAAAATATTTAAATAAAAAAAGTATTATTGAGTCGATTTAATTTTAAATAAAATATTTGTTCAATTTTTATCATATTTGTTCATTTAGTAGTCCAATTTTAAAGCATATATTGTGAACAAAATAATAATGTCAACAAGTGGTCGGGTGGTTATTGTAGTGGTTTTGAGTTTTGAGAGTAATAATTCAAAATTATAATATAAAGCCAATTTGTAAAAAATGATTTCATGTTTTAAACATGGTATTATTACGAACATAGAAAAAAAAAATATAAAAAAATTTTCGAACTTCTACGTTAAAATATACTATGAAAATATGGTATACATAGTTTCATATTATAAACTCATACCAAAATTATAGTTTGAGGCCGCCAAAGTGGTCATAGTCATAGACATCGATCATGGCTAATAGTCCCAAAGTAAGAATATATCCAAATTCAATAGCTCTTTCTCTTCATCATCTACTTATGTTGTTGTCTAGTAGTACCAACTACATTAAGTAGTAGCTCTCAACTAGATTTTTTAGCATATTGATTTGAATACCCTTTATTGTACTTAATAAGTCTCATATTTAGCTTATGATAGTCATAATAGTAACTAACGATGGAGTCACGTGTGTCTTGGGTTGAGATATGAGTCTGAGATGAGAAAAATGTGCAAAGTCGTCATATCAAGAAGATAGATATTTCAAAACCAATTCTTTAGTTGTGTGAAAAAAGTCTTTGTAAAAACGTATAAGTGGGGTTATTGGATAATAATAATTATAGAAAAAGTAAGGAGTCGTCACATGGGAACATTATGATTATTTTGGTTATAGCTAAATTATGTAACATGATTTGTGGCATGACATTCGCTGGTCTCACCTTCTATGATTATTCTCTCTTTTTTTTTTTTTTTTTTTTTTGTCTTAAAGCTGTCAACACCCAAAATTAAAAGAAGAAGAAAAATATAATAGACACACACACACATAGCTTAAGATATATAAAATCCAAACTCGACCTTGGTCATGTCGCTCCATTTGCTTGCCCTATTAGCTTAGCTTTGGTCCAGTCAATTTTGGCTTTTATTGGAAACTGTTATCGTATGCTTGCTGATGGTTTTATATTGTCAACCCGATAAAATCGTGTTTGGCCTTTTGAGATTAGTGACTAATCCTTGGATTGAGAACTGTATAAGTACACTATTTTGAATATTTAAGAGCACTAACAATGGTGATTTTTGAAAGTGTTTAAGTTGGGTCTTAAAAATAAAAAAAATGTGGATTAATAGATTTTGAGTCCAATTTTAGACATTTATTTGTTAAAAGTGTCTTATTTAACACAATTTTGTTGTTTAAAAAAAATTTAACTATTTTAGACACCCATTAAAAGTATCACCATTGAATATGTCCTTAGAGTTAGGTTGGTGGGGAGCTCAAGAGAGTGCGCAGCTTAAGTAAGAAGAATAATTCTTTGGACTTCATCTTTGGTTGTAGAATAGGTTATGCATGGCTACATGTATTGTATTGAAGCTGAACTTGAAGACTTTGAAATATATATATGCCCGAAACAGTTTATATTGATCAAATACAAATGGGCTTGACGAAAATGCAAATACAAATACATGATCTTACTTCTAATAAGTGAGATACGGATTAAAACTCAAAAACTAATCTGAAAATCTAATCAAAACAAAACGAATATAAATTCATTAGTGATATCATTATAGGAAAACAAGTACTTTTACCATCATAATTTTTTTCTTTTTTATATAAGATTACAATTTCGCTAAAAATGTATTTTGACATTATATGCGACCGCGATAATAAAACTTATATATATTAGATAACGGTTTTTTCATATAAATTTTGTATCTTCATGCAATATAATGCTTATAATTATATATCTATAATAATATTTTGATCCACATAAGCTCAACTAGCTTGACAAACATTTACGTATATCTAGTAATTGCAGATCTTTTCGGGCATTGAGACCGTCCTTTGATTTCCCGCAGTGCAACAATGTAGATACAATGCTCGCAGCAACATTTTTCTCTACGTGCATTACGTCTAAGTTATGTCTTAGCGACAATTCCTGACGATATAAAAAAAACCGAGTTAATAAATATTCATGCTAAATAGTGTAAGAACTTTAAATAAACTATGTTACAAAAAAAGTATACCTCCCAGTAAGAAAGCTTGAAAAATATGGATCTTTTTTTCCATCTTGATAATTCCTCCTCATCTACTTCAACTTCTTCCTCTTCCTCTGATTCATTAGATTCGTCGTCCATGTCAGAGCTAGATCCAACACACTCAGTCAATTTTCTCTTTCTTCCATCTTTCTTTACATTTCCAAAATCGTTTTTGTAATTTCTCAGGATTTGAGAAATATTCTGACCCGTTAGAATCCTAGCCTTTCTCCCATGCTCAGATTTTCCATCAAACCATCCCTTTTTTCCGCGATATCTATGTGTCGGTGATAGACCCTTTCTATGAGACATATATACATGCTTTCTACTGTGACTCAACCAAAAACTATCTGTGTTTTTTCCACACAAAGGACAGCCCATTTTACCCTTAACCTTGCAGCCAGCAAGATTTCCATACGCAGGGAAATCACTTACAGTCCAAATGAGCATTGCCTTGAGAGTAAAAGTGGTTTTACTAAAGGCGTCATATGTTGTCTCTCCATGGTTCCACAGATGAATTAAATCTTCTATCAGAGGCTCCAAGTATACATCTATACTGTTACCAGGTTGATGCGGACCAGGAATCATCAAGGTAAGCATGATATTGTCTTTCTTCATGCATAGATGTGGAGGCATATTGTAGTTAACTAACATCACAGGCCAACAACTGTACTTGGTGTTTTTCATGTTGAAAGGATTAAATCCGTCTGTGGAAAGACCAAGCCGTATGTTCCTTGGTTCAGCTGCAAAAGATGGGTAATTGGCATTTATCTGATCCCACGTTACAGAATCTACAGGGTGACGACTTTTCCCATCAGTGCTCTTATTGGTAAAATGCCACCTTAAGTCCTTGGCCATTTCTTCAGACCTGAACATCCTCTTCAAACGTGGAATTATCGGGAAGTACCTTAACACTTTCTGTGGAACCCCATTCTTAACTTCACCAGTGTGCTTCATCTTCCATCTTGAAGCCTTACATTTTGGACAGTTGTTAAGCTTCTTGTACTTATTTCGGAATAGGCAGCAATCGTTAGGACAAGCATGAATCTTTTGATAACCCATATCAAAAGACTTCAGAAACTTCTTCACATCGTACAATGATGTGTGAAGTACATTGTCCTCCGGTAACATCTCCGGCAATGTCTCCAGCAGCATATTAAAGCTTTTATCAGACCAACCACCTTGTGTCTTAATCCGGAACAATGAAACGATAGCAGATAGCTTGCTGTGGTTCACACAATTTGGGTACAACGGTGTTTCTGCATCTGCTAGCTTTTCGAGGAACTCATCTTCATACCTGTCCTCACCCTCAACAATCTCACAAATATCAGCTTGTGTAACCAACTGTTCATCTAAAAACTCAGCCGCTTTATATAATCCAACAATCTCATCATTCCACATAGTTGCTTGGATTTCATCCTCAGCCCCTGAACTCACAACTTCATGATGATACCAATCCTTACGCATCTTGTAAGACTCGTCCATTCCTCTTCTTACAAGATGATCAACTACATCACTGCCCAGTTGACGTTCTACATTCCGACAATCAATGCATGGACATATTATC